AAAAGAAGCAAAGTAAAAAGGAAAATCAAAGTATTTTAAAAATATAGAAAATTTACACATTTAAAAAGCATAAAATCTACTAGCATCACTCCTTTAAGGAAGCCTTCTATTTACCTATCCAAACAGGCAAAGAGTCCAGATTTCCCTCCTACTGCACAAAGTACTTTGGGTGCACAGCGAGGTCGTGTCATCAAGACTGTTTGATGAGACAGTCTATGTTCAGGCATAAAGTGATACTTTAGGGCTTCATTCAAAAGATGTTTACAAGTACGATCATCACGAATAAGATGATTTGCTTCATATAGTCTAGTGAGAAACTTAACACTCAACAATGGTAATCGTACACTGTTTAGCAGCTGTGCTAAGTATTTCTGGCGTTCTTGTACATCATACTTGATCCAAGACTCTAATGCATAAAAAACAGCCTCTTCAGTAGCTACATTCAAACAGTCATTAGAAACAATTTCATCCAAATCAGCATGTGTAAGCTCAAAAAACTCTTCAGTCTGGCAAACAGCTTCAAAATTCTGGCATATGTATTTAGTGGCTGCCAAATAAAGGTCGTGACAACCATATGTTTCTGCAAAACGAGAAATTCCAATACAATTACCAGGATCAAGTTGGCTTTCAAGAAATGCACAACATTCTTTCAGGACAAGTTTTATCTGGAGTAGGTTTGCTGCTGGCAGGAGAGATTCAACTGTATCCTGAGAAATAAAAACAGTCCCTGTATAGGCATACTCCACAATAGCCTGAAGAGCAGTTTCATCAATGCACTGAAACTCAACTTCACTGTTCTCTTTTTCAGAAAGGTTTCCAGTGAACATAGCTTTGAAATATGGGCTGATGCTGGCAAGTACCACTTTGTGAGCATGAATTTTAACATCACCTACTCGAAGAATGATGTCACAGAGTTCGTGATGCTGGCGAAGAAGATTCAAGCCCTGTAGAAGTTGTTCAGAATGTAAGTGGGCTAAATTAGCAAGCATGTAGGTCGGGGATGTGTGGTCCATCTACAGAAAAACAAAAAGCATGCACAGTTATTTCAACATAATCTTGACAATATGATTCTGTTTTTCAAATAGTAGAAAATAAATCATACTTGTTATTTATTTGCCTGTTCATCGGTTTTTAAATACTTTATACTAAATACAAGAATTAGAGGCTTTTAGAGTAAGAGGAGATTTAACTCTTTATAGAAGGGCATATAATTCAACTCCTTTATTAGAGATATTTGGAAATGGAGGCCTAAAAGCTTACTTGATACACCCCAAACCATAATGGTCTCTGGGCAATGAACTTTTGGATCAGAACTCTATCAACTCTTTCATTCTGTTGCCCTTCACTAAATTCCAGTCATGAGCTACCACTGAAGCAAAATGCAAATGTGGAGTGGGGTCGGGGAGAGGAAACTTGCTTAAAGTAAAATTAGTTTTGAAACAATACTAGCTATTTGTCAACTGACGGATGCTTTAACTGAAACTTCATATTAACTCAAACACTTTACCCAAAAAATCAATAATTGCTTTGACAGAGAATGCTGAATTTAACAAATTGACTGTCAATTCATCCAAAAACAACAACAAAATTATTGTGAACAGAATCCAATGTTCTACAGTGAAGGCAATAAGGCTAACTTACTGATCTACACCACAGCCACTCAACTCTTGATCCTTAATTTAGATCATGCCCACTCAATCTACTTGCCCCTTTGTGTTTCTGGAAGATGAAGAAGACTAAAAATAGGAGAGAAGAAAAGGAATAAGAAGGAAAAGAAAGAAAGCAGAATGACAATAAAGATGGTGGTAGGCTGAATACTGGTTCCCCAAAAGACATTCACATGCCAATCCATGAAACCTGTGAATGTTATTTTATATGGTAAAAAAGAACATTGCAGATATAATTAAGGATTTTGAGATGGGGGGATTATCTTGGATTACCCAGGTGGGCCCAAAATACAATCAACATGTACCTTAAAAGAAGGCAGAGGGATCTTCTGTAACAAAAGAGCAAGAAAAAAAGAAAAAGAAAAAAAATATTAAAAAAAAAAAAAGGTGGCAGAAGGAGATTTGACACAAACAGAAGAGGAGGTCATGTGACTACAGAGGCAGAGAATGGAGCGCTGCAGCCACAAACCAAGGAGTGCTGGCAGCCACCATAAGTTGGAAGAAGCAAGAATAGATTCTCCCTTAGAGCCTTCAGAGGAAGCATGGCCCTGCCATCTTAATTTCAGCCCACTGATACTAATTTCAGACTTCTGGCCTCCAGAACTGGAGAAAACACATTTCTGTTGTTTTAAGCAACTGAGTTTGTGGTAATGTGTTACAGCTACCTTAAGAATTAATACATGGATATTTCATAATGGATTGCAGCAGTTTGTTAGAATAGACAAAAGTAACATAGGACATCTATACAATATAAGCTGTTTCCTCCCTGTCTCACTCACACTTCAAAGGTTATAAGGATAACAAAAAAAGTAGATTTGGTTTCTATCATAAAAGTGTTACCAAATTAAACATTTTGAACACTATTAAATATTAATAACATAAGTACTGGCAGGACCTGGAAAGTTTAGCACTTCATTCTTGTGCATTTTTACATGGAAA